GTTATAACCTGGGATTCAAATTTCGTTGTCATAATGATCCTTTATGTGGGTCTCTGTGATTGCTGCAAACATTGCATTTGACTCCATGAGTAGTCTCTTGATGTAAGGAATTTTGTTGTTTTCTGATGGCTTTAGACCCTGTATGTTTGCAAAGACAAATGTCGTATTGGTGGAATTTAGGGGGTTTCATTTGCTGACTCCAATATCTGTTGTTCTGGGGTAGAGGCCAATGTCCGTGCCTCTGCTCTAGAAGTGTTTTTAGGTGGTGTGGGATTATTGTCATTTCTTGCCAGTCTTTTTTTTCCCTTCTGTCCCTAAAAGGCCTCTGTCCCTAAAGAGGTTGTGGCTCCTCTCTTTTGTTTCCCATAGTCTGGCTGGTCTGTGTCTTCTAGTCCCCTTTAGATGATGTGCCTGGCAGTATGCATTGTAGCATTTTCTTTCATGGATTGATGAGTGACACATTTCTGGGTGAAATAAGTTGCAAGAAGGGAAGTTGCACTCTCCTGTTGTCATGTGGGTGTGGCATTTTTTGGGATGGTCAAAGGTGCATGTCCCACCTGTTTTACCAGATATACTGTCCCTGCAGATACCCAAGGCATAGTATATACATAGATTGTACTTCTGTTTGCTAGGATTTATTGTAGCTGTGTTCACTGCTGGTGCATTTATTTTTCCTGTTTCCTCAATATCTATTACCCCTGTATGGACATCAGTGCTTCCACCAGGTTTTGATGGTAGTGTGTCAACGCTATTCCCTGATGCCTCATCCCATTTTGATCCATCTCCAGCAATGTCTCTATTTTGAACCTCTGTGGACTGAATAAGGTTGTCTTCAGTGTCCTCCAGGACAACACTAGTACCTTCAGCACTGTCCTCCAGGACAGCACTAGCACCCTCAGAAGCACTCTCCTCCAGGACAACACTAGCACCCTCAGCACTGTCCTCCAGGACAGCACTGTCCCCCTCAGAAGCACTCTCCTCCAGGACAACACTAGCACAATTTTTTCCCAGCTGTCATACTATGTTGACATGTCTTTCAAGAAGGATGTTTTATTGGTGTTCTTGTCTTTTAATATAGATGTCATTTCCTCATACAGGTGTATCTCATTTGGGCAGACCCAAAAACATCTCTCTGAGTTTGTCAAGTGTGGTCACTAGTTTAAAATCCCTGCATATACTATGGGACCATTGACCACACAAATGGCAAGCAATCCAGGCCTGTCTTTGTGCCTTACTCTTTCTGCAGACTACACAGATCTTCATGGTAGTGTTCATCTTAGCAGTACTAGACAACTCTCCTAGCTAGCTAGTCTATAATTCCCCGAAGTATTTAATTTTTTGTAACAGTTCTTCCGATTTGGCTTTATTTCCAACGAAACCATTTGAATTTGCCCAAATCTGGCTTTATTTCCACAGAAAGCATTTGAATCCGCTCGAATCTAGCGGAATCTGTTTGAATCCGCCCAAATCCAGTGAATCGGGTAGAATCCAGCTAGTGAATCACTGTTTATTTTTTTCCTAATAAGCACTTTAACAGTAGATCTGTCTATCTGTATTGTAACTATTTGTTGTAGTTACTGTTTGATAGGGCATGTAGAGCCCCGTCAGTTAGTGAAACCAGTCAGGATATATTGTTATCAATGAATGTTTGAATCCAGTCGTTGGATAAATCCGGGCAGATCCAGATTAGCTCACTGGGTGATGTTGGACTAGCTCATAAAAGGATTACTGGAAAAAAAAAAATTAAAGAGTAATAGGTGTTCAGTTTGATACAGAAAGTATAACTTTCATGTTTGGGTGCCGATGGCTTCAATAATGGAGGAATAATGATTTTCATTGTGTATATAGCGACCGCTGCTAACTGCAGGTTTACCACACACTGTATATGTCACTCCAGGTGCTATATGACCCCTGCAATAACTTTTGAAAATCTATAATTATTATATTGTATTACCTGTAAATAAGATGACAGGCCAAAAAAGAGTTAAAAGGACTACAAATACTACAAAAAAGTATGCATGTATACGTATTTTCTATGCATATACAGTTTAGTGTTATTACATGTACTGTATGTAATAACAATATACATTCTTCTTCTTTCAACATACCAGCCATATCCCACCGAGATGGGGTGGTCCAAAAGAAAAAACTAAAGTTTCTCCTTTTAAATTTAGTAATATATACAGGAGAAGGGGTTACTAGCCCCTTGCTCCTGGCATTTTAGTCGCCTCTTACGACACGCATGGCTTACAGAAGAAGAATTCTGTTTCACTTCCCCATGGAGATAAGAGGAAATAAACAAGAACAAGAATTAGAAAGAAAATAGAAGAAAACCCAGAGGGGTGTGTATATATATGCTTGTACACGTATGTGTAGTGTGACAGACAAAAGACACCAGCAATCCTACCATCATGTAAAACAATTACAGGCTTTTGTTTTACACTTACTTGGCAGGACGGTAGTACCTCCCTGGGCGGTTGCTGTCTACCAACCTACTACCTACAACAATATACATATGTGTATTAATTTCGCCTGTTTGCGAATTGTTAAGCATTTCAAATCTCTTTCGTTGTCCACTGCATGTGGCAGGATTCAATGAAATAACTTTCAAAACGAGCTTGGTGCCCGGGGGTATGGGGAAACATCGCTTAGCTTCGGCTAAGCACCTATACTTATCGCAGGTCTAGTCTCTTGGTAAAGTACTGTGGACTCTGATACAGAGTTAGCAGGTTCGAGTCCTGCTGTGGACATAGAGACAATGTTTGTAAATAATTTCGCCTGTTTGCGAATTGTTAAGCATGTATATTAAGGTAAGGAGCTGTATGTATTTATTGTAGTGCACTATAATGTTTAATAGTCATGTGCTTGATCATGAACATCAAAGACTATATATTTTTCACGTTATATTTTGATGTCAAAACCACATAACCCCAACTAGTAGAAGTGTAACTACTGGCATGTGGCAGGAAGATAGTATATTCTGGATTCTTGACATTTCCAGGTAGTTGCTTTACTAGTTGTAGTTTAGGGCTATCATTAATCTACCCAAGTTTCATTTTGTCTATCATTGATTACTCTTTCTCTCCTGCCTTATTGCTGCTTCCTGTAGCACTCTTCACTGCCCCTATAACATCTGCCCTGCAGCACTGTATGACCCTGGTGGTATAGCACTTATTTTGATTATAATAATAATCTGCCTTATTGTCATTTGCAAGACATTCTTCCAACCAGCACATTTATGTTATGAATCTTCTTCTATAGCACCTAGATTTTTTTTTTTTTCAACAAGTCGGCCGTTTCCCACCGAGGCAGGGTGACCCAAAAAGAAAGAAAATCCCCAAAAAGAAAATACTTTCATCATCATTCAACACTTTCACCTCACTCACACATAATCACTGCTTTTGCAGAGGTGCTCAGAACACAACAGTTTAGAAGCATATACGTATAAAGATACACAACATATCCCTCCAAACTGCTAATATCCCAAAACCCCTCCTTTAGAGTGCAGGCATTGTACTTCCCATTTCCAGGACTCAAGTCCGGCTATATAAAAATAACCAGTTTCCCTGAATCCCTTCACTAAATATTACCCTGCTCACACTCCAACAGATCGTCAGGTCCCAAATACCATTCGTCTCCATTCACTCCTATCGAACACGCTCATGCACGCCTGCTGGAAGTCCAAGCTCCTTGCCCACAAAACCTCCCTTACCCCTTCCTTCCCGTCTTCCTTCTCCTACAGATTTAAATGCTCTCCATGTCATTCTACTTTGATCCATTCTCTCTAAATGACCAAACCACCTCAACAACCCCTCTTCAGCCCTCTGACTAATACTTTTATTAACTCCACACCTTCTCCTAATTTCCACACACCGAATTTTCTGCGTAATATTTACACCACACATTGCCCTTAGATAGGACATCTCCACTGCCTCCAACCTCCTCCTCGCTGCTGCATTCACAATCCAAGCTTCACACCCATATAAGAGTGTTGGTACTACTATACTTTCATACATTCCCTTCTTTGCCTCCATAGATAACGTTTTTTGACTCCACATATACCTCAACGCACCACTCACCTTTTTTCCTTCATCAATTCTATGATTAACCTCATCCTTCATAAATCCATCTGCTGACACATCAACTCCCAAGTATCTGAAAACATTCACTTCTTCCATACTCCTCCTCCCCAATTTGATATCCAATTTTTCTTTATCTAAATCATTTGATACCCTCATCACCTTACTCTTTTCTATGTTCACTTTCAACTTTCTACCTTTACACACACTCCCAGACTCATCCACTAACCTTTGTAATTTTTCTTTAGAATCTCCCATAAGCACAGTATCATCAGCAAAAAGTAACCGTGTCAATTCTCATTTTGTATTTGATTCCCCATAATTTAATCCCATCCCTCTCCCGAACACCCTAGCATTTACTTCTTTTACAACCCCATCTATAAATATATTAATCAACCATGGTGACATTACACATCCCTGTCTAAGACCTACTTTTACCGGGAAGTAGTCTCCCTCTCTTCTACACACCCTAACCTGAGTCTCACTATCCTCATAAAAACTCTTTACAGCATTTAGTAACTTACCACCTATTCCATGTACTTGCAACATCTGCCACATTGCTCCCCTATCCACTCTATCATATGCCTTTTCTAAATCCATAAATGCAATAAAAACTTCCCTACCTTTATCTAAATACTGTTCACATATATGCCTCAATGTAAACACTAGATATTAACCTAAATATTAACCCTTAAACTGTCCAAATGTAGATATATGTTTTCGCACGTAGTGCTCCGACCATGATTTTCTCCATTTGAAAGCATGTAAAAAAAGTAGATCTACATTCTGAGCACTGTGCGAGCAAATGTAGATCTACGTTTGGACAGTTTAAGGGTTAAAGGGCAAGTCATCAAGTCAGTAACCAGTTGGTCAAAAAATAATTTTTAATCATGAATTTTTTTTCCTCCAAATTGCTCACAGATGTGATCAGCTTAACCAGGGCCCTGAGAAAGGATGTGAAGGATGCCTCCTTGGCTTCGTCCGGCATTAGTGTTTACGTTGGTGAATCTCTCTCTCTCATCAACAGTTTTGATCTGAATTCAAGCAAAGTGTCTGAAGTCCTCAAGATTCCAAATGATACTGCAAATAATAGTGTTGTGGACTGTAAGGACGCAATTAGCAACATGTCTTATGTGTGTGAAAAACTTTTTATAGGCCTGAGAGACAGAGGAAATGTGCTTTTGTATGAGCCAAGACTAGGTAAGGTTGCACAAGACATAGCAACATCAAATATTTTAGAGAAAAATTGGACAATGGATGTCAGTCGTGGTGGAGACTTTGTGGCTATTGCTAACTCCTATGGTACTTTAAATGTTTATGATATAAGGAATTGTAGCAAAGCAATTTTTGCAGATACAGTGAAGGTGGAAGAAAACAAACTGGAGATCCACGAAGTATGCATTAGCCCAAATAGCTCTTTTGTATCAGTGTGTGGTCGTGACACAAATGTTCGTGTTTTTAACTTCAACAGAGCTGAGGTGAATAATGGAAATGTATTCACTCACGATGGTCATAGAGGACATAATGTAGAGAGTATTGTAACTCATTTATGGCACCCATCAAAGGACAAACTTGTTCTTTCTGCTGATAACACAGGTAAGCTAGAGGCTTGGAGGTTTAGATAGATCCAGTCTCTAGAGAAATTAACAGCTATATGTATATACAGTGGACTCCCGCCTTACGATCAGCTCCCAACTCGAACAGTTATGTAAGTGTATTTTTGTAAGTGCTTTTGTACATGTATTTTTGGGGGTCTGAAACGGACTAATCTAATTTACAATATTCATTATGGGAACAAATTCGTTCGGTAACGGCACCCGAACAAACTTCCGGAATGAATTAATATCCTAAGTTGGGGGTCCACTGTATTTAGAGTAATTTATCGAAGGGTCTCTTTAAAATGTGATTGCAGAGTACAGCAATACAGATTACAGCCAATTAACCCTTTCAGGGTCCAGAGGCCAAATCTTAGAGTGACAGCCAGGGTTCAAGAATTAAAAAAAAAAAAAAAAACTTACAGAATTAAAGATAATATTTTTCTTATTATTTTGTTAACACACTGGCTGATTCCCACCAAGGCAGGGTGGCCCGAAAAAGAAAAACTTTCACCATCATTCACTCCATCACTGTCTTGCCAGAAGGGTGCTTTACACTATAGTTTTTAAACTGCAACATTAACACCCCTCCTTCAGAGTGCAGGCACTGTAATTCCCATCTCCAAGTAATAAAACAAAAAAACAAAAAAATTCCCTAAAGTCAGTACCTGACCAGCCGGGCTGTGATTCGTACGTCAGCTTGGGTGCGGCCAGCAGTAACAGCCTGGTTGATCAGTCCCTGATCCACCACGAGGTCTGATCTTAGACTGGGCCGCAGGGGCATTGACCTCTGAAACCCTCTCCAGGTATACTCCAGGTATTTCAAGCTTACACGTATAAGGAAATCTGACTAATCTTTTCATTAATAAACTGAAAGACAGGGTACAGTGCATGTAATAAAGTTTCTTCATTGTTATAGTACAAGGGAGAGGGGAGGTATGATTTACAAACACCAGATTTACAGACACCAGATTTACAGACACCTGGCTTACAAATACAGTGGTACTTTGACTTACGAGTGCCCCAACTTACGAGCCGTCGCTAGGTGAATGTTTTGCTTTGAGTTGCGAGCCAAAATCTGAGTTACAAGTGAGCTTCCGATACGTCACCACTAGTTGGCCCAGCGAACGCCACAACATCCGCCCAGCATCCCAGCGTTTTGTGCTTTTTGTGCAGTTATTTTGCCAAATTTAATTTTTCTAACCATGGGTCCTAAGAAAGTAAGTGCAGAGGACAGTGCTGAGAAGAAGAGGATGATTTCCATTGAAATAAAGCATGAAATCATAGAAAAACACGAGAAAATTGCTTTTTTTTTCAGTGTTTTCCTTATGAAACTAGTGATCTAGTGCAGATAACCTCACAAACACTCCGTTTTCTCTTATAATAAGACCTCAGAAGGGCAACAATAGGAAGATATGGCCAGAGCGATAATTATTTTTACCTCAGGAGTGGCCACCACCACTTGTCACATAATGACATATTTTATTCATTCTAGAGTATATATCATGTTTCTATGTTATTTATATTGTTTGTTATGTCAGATGAATTGTGATAGATAAATAAGCCATAGAGTTGATATTAATGTTGTATTTAAGTATTTTCTCCTGCCTCCTGAAAGCCAGGAATTCCACTGGAACAGATTAATGGCATCTCAGTTAATTTCAATGAGGAAAATTGATTTGATATATGAGCAAACTGAGTTACGAACTCGGTCATGGAACGAATTAAACTCGTAAGTCATGGTACCACTGTACCTGATTTACAGTGATCTGCAGAGCCCATTACAAATGCCCTGGCTGTTGAGAGAATTCAAACTGGGATTAGTGAAGTGAGGATAGAGCCTCAACCACTAATTACTCACAAGAGTTTAGTGCTTATTGGTATACAATACAGCGTGATGACCTGCTCAGGAGTGAAATCCAAAAGTTATAATAGAGAGAAAATACTCTTTTATGAATATTAACATGCAGTTATAAACATGTTAACACGCTTATCTTTGTACGGTATTACAGTTTTTGTAAATTTGGGGATCGCTTATGTTAATAATTGCATAAGTTTGAATTTTGAATTAGCACATATAATGGAAATACTATAAATATCAAATAAATTTTTGTACAAAAAAAAAAAAATTGCATTTTTTCATTTATTAATCCTGAAAGTTTAGTTGCATAAACATTTTTTTATTATGTGTTAAGAGAAGTTTATCTGATGTTTTTAATGTAAAGTAATAGACTGGAAGAGCTATACAAAGCCTTTACATTAGACATGTCTTATTAAAATTAAGCAGATCATAGTAAAGAGACAAACTAGCCCATGGCTAACAAATAGCATCTTCAGGTCCATTGATAAAAAAAATTATGAAAAACAATACAGATCGGACTTTATAAAGTACAAACCAAAAACTGTACATCAGTACTTACCAAACTAATAAGGAACTCTAAACTATATGGTGTTAGCATAGGTTCAATGAAATAAGTGATATGAAGAAGACTCAGAACACACTCAAATTCTGGGATCTCGGGATGTTGTCCTAACCAAACTCATTGAACCACATATCCAGCCTTCTGAAACAGCCAATACATTCTTCTTTCAACAAACCAGCCGTATCCCACCGAGGCAGGGTGGCTCAAAAAGAAAACCGAAAGTTTCTCTTTTTAAATTTAGTAATATATACAGAAGAAGGAGTTACTAGTCCCTTGCTCCTGGCATTTTGGTTGCCTCTTATGACACGCATGGTTTACAGAGGAAGAATTCTGTTCCACTTCCCCATGGAAAAGCCAATACGTACATAAAATTATTTTTTTTCTCTTCCATAAGATCAAATGTAACTAGCAAAATCCCAAGTACCAATGCTCATGTGAGTGACTACCTTACTGAAAAGTTTCCAAACACTGGCTAAAACTATTGTTCAAAAGAGCAGCATGTGTGCTCTCACCCACCATTGCAATATTGTTCAACAAATCAAGAGAGATTGTAAAAATTATAGGGGAATAAGTTTGAGTATACCAGGTAAAGTGTATGGTAGGGTTATTATTGAAAGAATTAGAGGTAAGACAGAGAGCAGGATGGCAGATGAACAAGGAGGCTTTAGAATGGTAGGGGATGTGTAGATCAAGTGTTTACATTGAAGCATATATGCGAATAATATTTATATAAAGTTATGGAAGTTTTCATTGCATTTATGGATTTAGAAAAGGCATATTATAGGGTGGATAGGGGAGCAATGTGGCAGATGTTGCAGGTACTGTATGGAATAGGTGGTAAGTTACTAAATGCTGTAAAGAATTTTTGCGAGGATAGTGACGCTCAGGTTAGGGTGTGTAGGAGAGAGGAAGATTACTTCCCACGTAAAGTAGGTCTTAGACAGGGATGTGTTATGTCACCATGGTTGTTTTAACATATTTATAGATGAGGTTGTAAAAGAAGTAAATGCTAGGGTGTCGGGGAGAGGGGTGGGATTAAATTATGAGGAATCAAATACAAAATGAGAGTTGACACAGTTACTTTTTGCTGATGATACTTTGTTTTTGGGAGAATTTAAAGAAAAGTTGCAAAGGTTAGTGGAGAAGTTTGGGAGGGTGTGTAAAGGTAGAAAGTTGAAAGTGAACATGGATAAGAGTAAGGTGATAAGGGTATCAAATGATTTCGATGAAGAAATATTGGATGTCACATTGGAGGAAGGGAGTATGGAAGAAGTGAATGTGTTCAAATATTTGGGAGTTGACTTGTCAGTAGATGGGTTTATGAAGGAATTGATGAAGGAAAAAAGGTGTGGTGCTTTGAGGTATCTGTGGAGACAAAAATATGCTGTCCATGGAGGCAAAGAAGGGAATGTATGAGAGTATAGTGGTACCAACACTCTTATATGAGTGTGAAGCTTGGGTTGTAAATGCTGCAGCAAGGAGGAGGCTGGAGGCAGTGGAGATGTTGTGTCTAAGGGCAATGTGTGGTGTAAATATTATGCAGATAATTCATAGTGTGGAAATTAGGAGGAGGTGTGGAGTTACTAAAAATAATAGAGGGCTGAAGAGGGATTGTTGAGGTGGTTTTGTCATTTAGAGAGGATGGAACAAAGTAGAATGACTTGGGAAGCATATAAATCTGTAGGGGAAGGAAAGTGGGGTATGGGTTGTCCTAGAAAAGGTTGGAGGGAGGGGGGTAAGGGAGGTTTTGTGGGTGAGAGGCTTGGACTTCCAGCAAGTGTGCATGAGCATATTAGATAGGAGTGAATAGAGATGAATGGTTTTTGGGACCTGACGAGCTGTTGGAGTGCGAGCAGGGTAATATTTTGTGAAGGGATTCAGGAAAACTGGTAAGCCAGACTTGAGTCCTGGAGGTGGGAAGTACAATGCCTGCACTTTAAAAGAGGGGTTTGGGGTATTGGCTGTTTGGAGTGACATCAAAACTGTCGTATCTGAGCGCCTCTGCAAAGACAGTGATTAAGTATGAATGATGGGGAAAGTGTTGATTGATGAAAGTTTTTTTTTTTTTTGGGGGGGGGGGGGTTCTTTCTTTTTGGGTCACCCTGCCTCAGTGGGAAATGGCAGACACATTAAAAAAAAATAGAAATCAACACATTCCTGACAATGCTTAAGACAGCTAGGGTTACGCCAATACATAAAGGAGACCCAACCAATGTAAATAACTATAGACCTACATCAAATGTGCCACTGTTATCCCAAATTTTCGAAAAATTAATCAACAAATCATGTATAAAGCTGGCTAGGGGCTCTATTTAAAGACTTATACCTATGCTCCAATTCCTTGAATCCAGTCTGAATGCCATCCATTACCCCAGGCAATGTATCACTTGTACTGGTTTACTGCTCCCCCATCAACATAATAATAATAATAATGTATAAAATTACTCCTACTTTTGAAACAGGCCAGAGTACTCAAAACCCTCAAGGACTGATGCTTGTGAGTGGCTCTTGATCCAAGAATGTAAGGCTGATTCTTCTCTTTCTGGGATTGAACCTAATTGCGTCCCATTTCCCAGGCACTGTAATAACCCCCTACAAATTTAATTCAGTGCATTAGTTTAGTTTAACATCTTTATTATGCACTCCATACCCATCCTGTGGGCGGTAGTCAAAAGTTTACAGAGGTACATAATGGGTCCAGGGACTGGGCCCCAAAGTTTTGATAGGTGAACAAGTTAAAGGTAAAGAATCATCTACACATGGTCACAATCATGAACAAATTACACTGCATTGGATGAATTCAACACAAATTCTTCCAGGAGGTTTAGTTTCAACCAGTAGCTGCAGCTGCAGCACCACCAACACAAGCAGCACCAGCACCACCAATACCAGCAGCACCACCACAAGCAGCAGCAACAGCACCTTCACAAAGGATAGTTTGACTTGAGCTTGATTCCTTCCCTGTTGCTTGACAGTTGTTTAAGCTGCAAAGTAGAGCAAAAACTTTAGACTTCTTTATGTACATAATACATAAAATCTGAAATTTGTGTATGGAAGCCTTTAAGTAAATGTATCAGTCTCTCTGGCAAGCTTCAAGGATCACTGATGCTTCTTATTTTATTAATGAGCAAAAATTAGGTTCATCAGGAGTGAGCTATGTGGTACTACCTGATTACCTCCCACCTGCTATGTGGTACTACCTGATTACCTCCCACCTGCTATGTGGTACTACCAGATTACCTCCCACCTGCTATGGGTTTAACACTTTGCCATGAATATAACTGGTAGCTCATCTATAAGATAAAGCATCCGGATGCATCCTACAATCATATAATTCTGCTTAAATTACACTCACATGTCAGTACATGTTATTACAGTTGTTTTAACACTCTTTTGGATTGGTCTTGTAATTTGTCAGGTAGCAAGGATTACATAGAAAAACCAAAGAAATAGAGGAGACATGTTCATGACACGGTGGCCCGTGGCCTGGTGGCTAAAGCTCTAGCTTGACACGGTGAATGTCTGGGTTCGATTCCTGGCGAGGGTTGAAAGATTGGACGTGTTTCCTTACACCGGTTGTCTATGTTCACCTATCAGTATAAAATGGGTACCTGGGTGTTAGTCGACTGGTGTGAGTTGCATTCTGTGACAAAATTGACCTAATTTGCCTGAAATGCTCAGGCATAACAAGCAGCTTTCTATATAGTAGTATGTCATTGATGTCAGCTAGACCTATATACCTTGTACA